AATTCTTCATGTAAACTTCGCCTGTTAGATTGTTCAAATTTATATACTCTAATGCATATTCACATACTCATCACCAGCATTTAACAAACTTGTGTTAAATATTTAACTTTTATTAAAGTCCTTCATGGTATGATGAAATAACTTGAAGTGATTAAAGGTGGCGAATTTTAGAACAGTGAATTTGGCTTACTCAGCGGACTAAGCACAGGTTCCTGAACATTGAGCACTGTTGGGTTTTAAGGTTGATCATAACTGAGATTGTTTCCTGTAAGACTTCCACTGCCACTGTCACCAAAGAGAAAGACAGTCTTAAGTACCTCCTTTTTTTTTATATTCATACTTTTCACTTTAACCTTAATAATTATCATGTTTTTATTTTGTTTACGGAATACATTCACATGCTTTAAAACAGAGATGTCATGTAATAACAGCTGATATATATGGAACATGTACTGTATACTAGGCACCATTTTATATATGCTGTGGCTCATTTAAGGATCACAGCACCTTTTAACATAAATATGGTTACTTTTTATAGATGAGGAGACTGAAGGTCACAGAGACAGTAAATGGCAAGTTTCCTGGTTCTGCCCCTAGTGTTGACCCCATAGCCCATTTTGGGGATCATCATTATGGTGGGCTATCTTCCAACATGAAAAACTTCTATGAACCTCCCTCTGGTTTAAACAGATTCACATTCAGCACACCAGGTGATTGAATTCTGATCAGTGCAAAAGTAGGGTTACTTGGAGACTATTGGGAGCACATCCTGAAGGACACAGGAGAATAAATTCTAAATGGAAACTTGTGTATTACTTAAATAACTGTGGTAATTTAGGAAGTTTACTTTCTAGCTGTAAGTATTCCTGTTACAACCACTGTTAAAATATATATATATATATATATATGTGTGTGTGTGTGTGTGTGTGTGTGTGTGTGTGTGTGTGTGTGTTTGGAGCCTTTCCAATCTTTTGTATTAGGATATATATACAGTATACATATCTGAGTACACACCAGCCTTCTTGGCTACAGTCTAACCAAGAAATACTTAAGTGTTCTAATGTAAATACTCCATCTTTTCCAGCAGATTTTCACCCAAGAGAAGGATATGTTTAGTAGATACAGAACATCTTTTCCTCAAAGACCAAGTACTTCTCCAGGTCGTCTTAGTAGTGATATTTTAGTCAACCCCAAAAAACTTCAAATTTGACTTTTAGTAACTTTTTTTGGCTGTTATCTTAACTGACTGAAGCTCTTTTCTGAGAGTCTCTTTTTATAAAAACAACTAACCTCTTCTGTATCCCATAGGACGACTGAAAATATAAAGCTATTTCTTAAATTCTATTACTGGTATCACATCTCAAAATTTACATTTCTATTATTAATCTTGTATTGATTATCTAAACTCACAATTCTTATTAATTCAGAACTCCTGCTTTTGGATCATCTTATACCAATTGTTACATTTATATTTTGTCTCTTTATTTAGCAAGTTTTCACTATTAATCATAGGATGGAATCTAGTTATGACAGGCACAAGTTCTACCTCGTATCAATTAGTAAGAATGATGTCTCTCCTAATGTCCTTGTTCTGAGAGTCTGTGGTTCAAACTGCAACTCTAGAAATGTACATCCATTTATACCAGTGTTTTGTAGAATGATTTTACTATATATGCTTCCCAGGGTATCCAGGGCTTTGCATTCCCTCAGTTGTCTTCATAAATGCTATTTATTTATTTTGACAAGTTTTAAATTCCTTGTTAAGAGAAACATACATATTCTGTACAAAAATGCTAGCTTATTTTAGGATCTCCAGACTGATAAATATATGAATATGTGGGTATTCTGTCTTTGAGTTATGGATAGGTTCACATGAATTTGTGAGTATAAAAATTCCTCTCTTTTTAAAATTTCTATGCTGTCTGCTTTACTGTATTATGAAAGTCTTTAGCTCTTACACACTATTGTCTGTGAAGTTCATATCATGACTGCTTTTAGCATGTAATAGGTGAGATCTATAAGTGACAGTGATTGAGAATATGGCCTAAGATGGAAGTATTTTTATTATATACTTCATGAAAGCAATCAGTCAAAACATGAGAAACATGAAACTAAGGAGGAAAATCAAAGATGTCGTTACTTGGTTGTGCTCTTACCGCATTATTACTAATAAACCAGGTCTGCAGTGAGAGTGATGCTTGAATAAGGCTATACTGAAGTCAGTTTCTCAAGAAATAACAACTTTTGATTTTTAGACAAATATTTTTAAATGTTCTTTTAGCATTTAACCATCTCCTTGAGTTTCTCTGAATTTGCTAATATTATGAGAGATCAAGTAAAAGTTTCAGACCACAAAGGCATTATAATCTACTCAAATCAATATTTACTGCTAATTCCTCACTATGTTTCTTTATCAGCTGTTTATTACTGAGGATCCTTCTCTTGAATTATTTAGGAGGTCTGTTGGGGATCCATCCCATGACCTCCTGGGGTGGGGGGAATGATCACTATAGTTAATCAGAATTGACTTTAGTGACTCAGAATCAAAATCTGAATTTGAGTGGCAGATTTTCTTTTCTTGCTAGATTATTGGAGGTCTGAGTTCTGAAGAAGGAACAGCACAATATGATGGCAAGGGCTAGCTGTAACTATATACCAACTAATATGGTAGAAGTTTAATATTTTGTGGGATGGTGAGATCACCAGCCACCTTGTCTCTCCTTCCTTAAGAGGAATGATGAATGAGGGGTTTGTATAGTATAGCATCTGCCATGTGGGCTTGTGTTTCTATCCCTGTAGTGATCCATCGCTGTCTTCAGTATCTCACACAGTTGGCAGTGATGATGGCTTTTAAATCATTTTTTTTTTCTTTTGGGGAAGATTTTTTTCCCCCTCTGGCAGAAGTATTAGAAAGTTATGAAATAGCAAATTTGTCAATTTTTTCTGGATGTGTAGCAAAGCACAAAGACAGAAAACTTCTTATGTATTGGATTATTTTGCTTGGATGTACTTACATGGTCCTGTAAGATTGGAATGACCCAAATGTACACAAACATCTAGTCCAAGTTTATCAAGACTTCTTACCCATGAAGAAGAGAATATAGAATTCATTTTCCACTCACTTAAATATTTATTGAGAAACTTCTGTGTGCCAAACAATTGTTCTAGAATTATAGCAATGAGCAAAATAGGAAAACAAGTTCCTGCTCTTACAGCCAATTCCAGTGGAAGCAGATAATAAACCAGTAAATAAGCCAAAAGCTGTTAAAGGCTGATAGTAAAAAATAAAGCTTGGAAATGGGATAGAAACTTTTGGAGTCAGGGAGGAAGGCATTGGAAGGTGACATGTGAGAAATAACCAGAAGGAAATGAGGGAGGAAGACATTAAGCTATCAGAAGGAAGAACATTCTAGGTACAGGAACAGCCAGGGTAGCCACCCCAGGAACACTCCAGGCACACATGAGAGGCAGCATAAAGGCCAGTGTGACTGGAGTGAGCTGTTCTGTCCTTACAGATGGTCAGAGACATCTAGGAACCAGGTCATCAATTAAAAGGACTTAGATTTTCTGTGCCAATTGGGAAAATACTAGAAGGTTTTGAACAAAACATCCTAAAATGACTTACACACTTTAACAGGATCCTTTTTTTCTGCTATGTTGAGAAAAGACAGTAGGCATGCAGCATAGAAATAGAGCCCTGTTAGAGTGTTGTCAATGATTCAGACTCTGGTAGAAGTCAAGCTGATGCTGGGTGTCTTTTAAGTGAGGAGCCAACAGGATAGACTTGTTATGGATGATGAGAGAGGAGATGACAGCAAACAGAAGGATGACTTGCTTTTTGCTGAGATAAAGACCATGAGAAGTATAGAGATTGGGGTAGAAGGAAGAGAAGGAATGACTGCCAAGATTTCAGTTTTAGACGTGCTAAGTTGAAGTGGCCTTGATGTGGAGACCAAAACAGGTCATCGGATGGAGTAGACATGAGTTTACAACCATCAACATGTATATAAAACTTAAAGGTAACAAATCATCAAGAGAGAGTCTAAGTATAGATATTAACAAGAATATGGCCAGAGTTCTGGTGACACCAATGTTGGTCAGAAGATGAAAAGTAATAAACCAAGAAAGCAGAGCAGCCAGAGTATGGATCTGTTGAGAGTGAGGAATGTGGTGTTCTGGGTAAGAAAAAGCACTACAGAAGGAAGGTCATGTGTGTTTATTGCTGCTAACAGGTCCAAAAAAAAAAAAAAAAATGAGTTCTGAGAAATGACCACTGATTTATTTGTGGTCAAGGTCATTGGTGATTTTGATAGGAAAAGTGTTAATGGGTCAAGGGTTGGTAAAAGTTTAATTGGAAAACTCAAATAGGAAAAGAGAAATTGCAGAAATAAACTATGAACAACTCTAAGTTTCGTTATAAGTGAAAGAGCAAAGATGGCGTGGCAGTTGGCCAGGAGGCATCAATCTGCCTGAGGAGGCAGGATAGTCCTAGGGTCTGCAGACATTCACCTTCCAGGAAGGTGAGCAGTAGCCATTTGTAGTCTGTGACCTCAAGGACCTTATCTTGGGTAAATATAAATTCTTGAAACATTTTCCACTGATACACTGGTGCTAATAAGAGATAGATTAACCAAGCCAGCTATTAGTGTACCAGTACTTTTCCCCTTTTTAACCCTTACTTTACATTCAATAATTTCTCTGATTCTTCTGTAAAAGTTAGTTTTTAACTGTATTTCTCAAAATTTCTTCTACATTTCAATTTATTTTCATATTTGTCCCCTGTCCTAGTCTAAGTTAGTTGAAGAGGGCCATATTTTATTTTTCCTTACATTTTACCTTACTTCACAGATTTTCTTTTGTTCCATAACTATTTTTTGAATAAATTACTATTGTGCTTCATTTTGGTAGATGATGGATTTGTTATAAAGATCTGTGTCTTCATAAGGTTTGCAGTTAATTTCTAAATATAAGATTGTGTTTGGTGGTTTTGTTTTTTACAGAGTCCCTGTGAAGCAGGCATGGTGAGAACAGACTCACTGCAGCTCAGTAGCTCCTCCATCGGGACTTCATCTTTGAGGAGAACAAAGCGAAAAGCACCTTCCCCACCCTCCAAAGCAGCCCAGCGTTCCAGTGATGGAAATGGCCAAGTGACTGGTAATGTTACTTTTCCCATTAACACTATCATTTGTATTATGTTCTGCTTAATACAAACAGAAATGATATGTTTGTCTTTTTATTAAATAATGACATTTAGGATTTATAAATAGTCCCTGATTATTCTCACTTGACTGCTTTCTATGAATCTGCAACACAAAATAAAATGACAAAATTATATGGCTTCGTTATCCTAAAATGAGCAGATTGTAATTTGTAAACTTATTTAGAAAACATTGCCACTCCAGGATTGACTTATATAGTAAGAGGAATGAATCTAAGTGGAATTTTGTCATTTCACAGTTGGGTAGTGAAATGACTTTTAGCAAGGTCAGAGCTCAATTCTTTCTGGATTGTATAAAAAAAAAAAAAAGTTACAGTGAAGCTGTAAAGGCGTTTTATGTATGAGGCTTGTTTATAAGTTGTGTTGTTCCTTTCAGCCCTGCAGTTAGTAGATGGGATTCCTCCAGACAGTGCTTTGGAAACAAGCTCCCCTGAGGGGCCATCCAGCCCAGGTATGACACCTTGACTCCATTCTGTGTCAGTACTGAAAAAGAATTTCCATGACAATTGAGGAATGGATTTAATTAGAATGCTCTATATGAAAGAGATCAGATTCTTTGACCTCATTTCCCAAATTTATTTCTTTGTGAAATGAATTCTCCTTCCCTTACTCCCCCCAGGAGTAGAGATTAGAGTCTGAAACTGGCACAAGATCAACATTTCAGTTCTAGAATTATACCTGGAGGACTTTCCCTGTTTGGTCTCTTGTTTTTTCTTATTGAATGTCAGGTCGACATTTGTTAACCTCCTTCCCAAGAGTACTGACACATGATAGTTAGAAACGTTTGGTATGTTTAGGGAAAAAAATTTACATTAAAATATAAGCATAGTTTCTTTAAGCAATGCTTCTAGGTATGAATTCAATGACCAGGTATCCTACTGTCGTGGTAAAAATTTGTTACCCTGAAAATAATTTCTATTATATAACTTGCATTAACAGTTCTCCTCAAATAAGTAAAATTCCAGTAAAAATAGAATGATTCAATCTAATACCATTTCCAATATTTTCAATAATAGCTACTTAGTGGCCCTTATAAAAAGATGTACAATAAAATTTCTCACCTTTAGCGTTTGTTAGACATAAGTGAATACAATAGATTGGAAATGTGATACAGAAATAGAATATTATATGCTAGTACCTTAGCATGGGGATAATTTGGTAAGTACAACAAATACTTATTATGACTACCTAATTTTTAGCGTTTGTTTTCACAAATTAGTCCAGGAGCACCTAAATTTTAATCTGAATCTTTAATCTTTATGATATAGGAATTTGGAAATTAATATATATAAGAATTCTTTACTCCTGTGTTTGTGATTTAAAATATTATATAACTAACAATGATTTTTTTTTCAGAATAATATCAATGATACCATCTTATTCTACAAAGGAAATGTAATGAATAACATTAGCATATGTATAGTTAAATTAGAAGATTTTGAAGTACTGGAAAAAGATGTGCATGCTATTCAAACTCTGCTCGGTATCTGTTTCTCTCCCTTTGTTCTCTTTTCATCCTCTTGTTTAATGCATGGATAATTGTGAGCTCAGAAATCTGATTTCTTCGAAAATGCTTTCTGGTCTCTGCTTGCCTTAACTTTGTTGTCTAAGTGCCATTTCTACAGAATCTGCTTCTTTGGCAGAAGCCTACCTGGGCCCTGGGCTCCTCAGTCATGAACAGAGCACGGTTCCCAAACTGACAGATGAAGCCTCTCTCTCTGAGGGCCCTGGAACGCCTGAGGCAGCCATAGCATCATTGACATGTAGGTGTCAGGCCTTTCCTGATTGTGGCTTTGTTTTATGCAGATTAAGACATCATCCATTATAGACTTGATTACTTGTGAAGCCTTTCTGTAAGAATGTTTCATAAAGAAATTGGAATTTCTTTTCACTTGAAATTTTATCCATGGTTAGAGTTTACAATAGTAAACTATATAAATGAATATGATGCAATGTAAGATTAATAAACTTAGGAATTCTGCAGAGTTTTACCTTCTATTTGACTTCCTGCTTTTTTTGAGGGAACTTTTAAACCTTACTATTTTCAATAAATTCACTATATATAATATAGTTTAGATTCAGAATTGCCAAAAATGAGAAGGAATTCAAATGTCCCCATTCTGAAGAATGGGCAAATTGTAGTTCATCCATGTCTTAGAATACAGTACTTCTACTTAACCATAAAAAGGAACAACAATGAATCCTCACAATATGGCTGAATCTAAAACATTATGTTAAGTCAGGAAGCCCAGATGTAAATGCCTAGATGTTACATTCTTATTCATGTGACACTTTTGCAAAGGTAAAACTATAGGGATAATGGTTGCCAGAGATTAGGAAGTGTGAAGAAGTTTAGGTGACTAATAGAATTTTCTGTGTCTTAATTGTGGTGGTAATTGTATTTACACAACTATATCAGTCCATCAAAATCCAAAGAATCATGTGAATTTTACTGAATGGAAATTATTTTCCAAGGATGAAAGAAAAACAATTCTAGTAGCATCAACAATGCTGTGACATAGCATATTTGAATGAACGAATAACAGAAAAAAGGGATTGTATTTGAATAGGATTAATTTAACACAATTATATTTTTGCAAAGGAATAGTATTTAACAGGCTATTTTGCCATTTTTATGATCCCCAGAAAAAATATATTAGATATCTTAAAAGTCCTAGTTAAATTTTAAACTTTAATAACTTCACAAGTAAAATGCTACAGACTTACAAAAATGTCTTTTGGAAGTTTAAGTAGCTACATTTCTTTTCATATGTTAATTGTTTTTTAATCTTAAATAATTAAAAAATATTCTTTTCAGTCAGTATTTGCTATTTTTAAAGGGACTGAAAAAAATAAGTTAAAATATTCAAATTATCTAAAATAAAAGAAACTTCAATCATTATACTTTCAAATGATTTTTAAACAATTTAAATAATTTCTTTTCATATTTATTCTTGAGAATTCTTAACAGTACTTTAAGATTTAGAACACCATGTTCTTTGAAAGTGAATACGCTGCCTTTAGAACTTTTAAACCTGAAATAAAATAGTTCTGATAGAATACTTGTGAAACTTATTCATTGTTCACAGCCCCTTCCCCATTTCTTTTTTTATTTTAGTGCTAGAATTTGGCACATACTAAATAAACTTGATTTTTTTTTCAAAGTGTGAGCTTACCTGTGCTAATCAAACAGACTGAAAATTCTCTTGGGTGATTAGAAATTCTTAATATCATTCTAAGTGAAATAGGTCAGACTCAGATATTCTGACAAGGGTTGTATGTTTTCTCTCACATATGGAAGTTAGAAGGGAAAAGGGATCTCATGGAAATGAAAGGGAGTAGAAGAAGGGGATGGAAAGGGAGGGAGGAGCTGAGGGCATGGAAAGTATTAGTGGATGAAATCAATCAAAGTATGCTATGTCCACGAATGAACATACCACAATAAATCCTGCCTTTACATATAATTATAGTGTACTAATTAAAATAATAGTAATGGAAGGCAGATCATTAGAGAAGCCAATCAAGGAGAGGGAGGAGTGGAGGGAAAGGGCAGGTAGTAGGGAATGAGATTGATTAAATTATGTGCATAATGTGTAGGCACATGACATAATGAATCATGCCATTATGAATAATTATCATGCACGGGTAAAAAATAATTATTGCCTTTTCTAAGACTTTTAATAATAGGAATGCTTTTCAAGTGGATAAAAATATATATTTAAGCAAGCTGGTATGATGTTTACAACCATCAAATCATCCCAGAAAAATTCGAAAAAATTTTTGAAACATCGTACTCATGCCTTATACCTTAATTGAGACCAGTTTCTCAGTGAGGACCTCATACTTGGGAAAAAAAAAAAAAGTTATGTATCTGAAATACTTGTGACAGCATGAGAAATACAGGGATAATGATGGGTAATTTGCTAAACAGCGCATCAGTTAATATAATTTTCAAAAGAGCTGAATACATACTGAAAAATCATGTATAAAACACTTCTACATCTGAACCATCATGGGCTTTTATTTTTCTCAGTACACAGTTTTCAACTTATATAAATATACTCTTACTATGATATGATATTATAGACATATAATATTGCACAAGGCATCATAATGGCTATTGCACATGTCATGATAAAGCAACATTTGCCAAAATATGTACATATAAAAATTCACTTAAAATTTTAAATACTTCTTAGTACTCTAATTTAATGGGGGCATTTTTTATTGTTAATTTAAAGTACCCCATATTTGTTTCTTTTTGATACAGGGTCATGCTATGTCACCCAGACTGACCTTGAAGTCCTAGACTCACACAGTCCTCCTGCCTCAGCCTCCTGAGGTGCTGGGACTACAGTCATGCAATACTGCCTGAGGCTGGGGATGGAACCCAGGGCCTCAAGCATGCTAGGCAAGCTTTTAACTAAACTGTATCTCCAGGCTCAATGCCTGTTTCTTAAGAAGCACAATGAACATACTTTTCTATCTCCACATTAAGAGATAAAATTATATTTTTAAGTATAAGCTTCAAATATCTTAAAATTTTTATTAAATTTTGTGAATGTGCTGATCACTATAATCCAATGCCGTAACATATTTCCCTCCTTTAGAAATAAAACTTTACTTGGATGTTTAATTTTATTTAAGAAAATTCCAGGACCTTAGTGTTTGGTTTAAATTTATTTTCACAGCTCATCTTGACCATTAACTATGGACATCAACTGCTAAGGATGTCTCCAACTTTATCATAGTACCACTGGTTGTCAATACTAAGAAGTAGTGATAAAACACATTTTTATACAATGAAAAATTAGCCACAACTGTTGAAAAATGATAACTACACATATTAGTATATGATATTTAAGGTATTATAAGTAGATCCAAAGCTAGGTCGAAACATTGGGTATAATATACTTATATTTATATTAAATAAACCAACAAAAAAGGAAATGTGAATATGGATATCTGCTTATGTGTGCATGTTATTATTTCTGACAATATACAGGAAACATGTGTTGGGGGAAGTTGCCTCTGAGAATCAAACTGGGTGGTAGTAAAAATTATCAGTGCTTCATACTTGTTTCCAGGTTAAAAACATATTAAGCATTTAGATCATTTAACCCTGGTTGCACAGTAGAATCACCGGAGGAACCTTAAACATTCTTGGCTCCACCCTTTTGAGATTTTTATTTAATAGCTAAGGAGTAGGGTATGAGCTTGAGTATTTTCAAAAGGGGTTCAGATAATTTTCAGGTATAGTTAGTGCTAATAACTACTGAGTCAAACTCTATGTGCAAAAATCTCATGCTTGTTTATTTGCATTAAAATAAACTTGTATTTAACTTACATTGATTTACAGCATGGATTTAAAATCATTTTAAAAAACGTACTCTTAAATGAAATATTTCACTTGACATTTATGATGCTAAATCATCTTCTATGAATAAAACCTAGAGTGATAGCAAATTGTATTTAGGATTATATGCATGTGAGACAATCTTGTTATATATTAACATGATTATTCACATGAGAAAAACATTTCACTACTAATTTTGAACCTGATTAAAGACTTCAGCTAATTATTAAATATTCCTTCCTTGCTAGTATTACATAGGGTAAATGAAATAAATTAATATTCAGGATGATATATGCATTTCTTTGTAGCTGGAATAAGCTCTGATTATAGCCTGGAAGAAATAGAAGAAAAGGAAGAACTGAGTGAAGGGCCTAAAGATGAGGTGGAAAATATTTCTCTGAAGTCACCAGACATTCCTTTTGCATCTACTGATATAACAAATACACTGAAAAATGATTCTGACTCAGCCCTTGGCATCAATAGCCGAGAGGCCTCTCCAAACTCCAAGGAAGAAAACCAAGAAACTAGAAACACAGATGGACCGTAAGTAGTCTGAATGCCAGAGTGTTGCTGGCAATTTGTTTAGTTAGTACTATTCTTTTTTAGTTAGTACTTTTCTTTTGTTTAGATTCTACCACTCTTATCATCATCATCATAAAAATATTTATTAGTAGCATATCTATTTGTATGTAATTGTGTTCAAAGTCTATCAGATTTACTAGTTCAATATCCCTGTGTCATATAAGCCATAACATAATTTGCATGTTTTTGTATATTTTGCCTATTACTTATTTGACTTAAAGGAAACATTTAATTTTTATCAAATGCTCACTGGCATATGAAAAGAATTCTCTGTATTAGAGTATAAGTTCAAATCCCCAGTATTATTTTTACAGTCAACTTTATGATGCAGAAAGGCACTTTCCATATTATCCTAGGTAACTAAAGCTATAGTGAATTCCACATATATTATGTTTGAGATGCAACACCATGAATAAAGATGAAATCAACAAAGTAAAATAAATCATCTTCATCAGAGGTTTAACATAATTTGCATGGGATTGTCTCCAAATTAAACCATTCTGTCACTAGAAAAAAAATCAGTGAGGTCAATTCAAGTACGATTTACGTAATTGACTTTGCTAGATGCAAGACAAAAATGTTTCATTAAATTTCCTTTTTCTTTAAAAGACAAATAACCAAAAATATCAAAATAAAGACACTATTTTAGTAATGAGTCCATTTTCCCAAGCTTTTTATATCTTTGTAATAGGACCACTATATGAAAAAAAAAAAAAAAAAAAACTTAGGTTTCACAGGTTTCACAGAAACATTTCCTCTCAGTTGTAATTTTTTCTTTGCTTTTAAATTTTCAGTATTTGGCAGAAAGAGATGATTATTTCAGTCCATCTGTCTTTGGAAATTATTGCCTGTTTTCTTATTGTATGAGTTTGAATAGTATACACATATACAATATCATATCTTCCAGAGAGTCACACAGTACTGTGTATGATACAAGCAATGAAGATATGATAGCCCGCAGTGTAAGAAATTTGAAGTCCGATTTGGGCCCAAGCGAAGAGAATGGTGAGTTTTATAAACACTGACAGCTTATACATTGGTAGACAATGATGTGCCAAGGACTATCCTTAACACACATCAACTCATTTAATCTTATATATTGACTCATTTAATACCCACCTCATTTACAGGCTATTATGGTTACTATTATTTTTAGTCCCATTTTATTGAAGATTGAATCACAAAGATATTAATTCCCACAACTAATAAGTGATGGACCTAGAATTTAACTCAGTCCGTATTACTCCAAAGTGTGCTCTTAGCTATCCAGTGCGTTACATTTGATGATGTTGTTAAGTCTTAGGGATTGTCGAGCTTCAACCTTAGATCTTAAAAGCAATGTCCTCTAGGCATCTATTTCTGTTCTGTTTTTCTGTTTTCCTCTTAATTCTGTAGCACAATCCTATTTTACATCATACTCAATTTGCTATATTTTGGATGAAACTCATCTGCCTGATTTTCAAGGCTTAAACCATCTAATTATGTAATCTTATTTACACTTTCCCCAATTCTCATTCCCATCTCAAGACAGTTTCTTCTTTTTCCTATGATGTAGTTCCCTCCATTCTATCATTTGGTCTATGCTCATCCCATTTTTGCAGAGAAAACAATTTTCCATCTAAATCCTACCACTTTGTTAATTTTGTTACATGATTCCTAGAAACCATGCAGTTCTGTATTCCTGACTCCTCAATTGAATTGGATCATCTTGTATCAGAGAAATTGATCTTGCACAATGATATATTTCAAGGGAATAAGAAGAAAGTGATTTATGAATGCTGATATCCCAACCCATGTTAACATACAAAACCCAGTTAAGATTCATAAAAAACATAAGACTATAATATTCATATTTGAATAAGAAGTCATAGTCCCAATGATATCTGTATATCTATGTCAGTTTCATTTTTATGGTATGTATATGTAAACCTGAATGTGTATGCTGCTGATTGACTTTACTTCAAATGTTCAGTCCCATTCTGAGACACATGGAGAATGTCATTTCTCCATGTGTAAATCATCTCCTATTCTTTATATCTTGATTATTTTTTCCCTTCATATACTGTGATGGCAGTAACATTCCTACTGAGAAATCATGATTTAAAAGCTACTTCTTTCTTAGCAAAAATGATTTAGTATATTATTTTCAAAGATTTTGACATCAAGTTAGTGCTGGAGTCACAGTACATTTACGTAATATTTATTTTGATTTGCACACACTTTGCAATGACCTTTTGTCAACTTTAGGTGATTTTAAAAATAAATAATTTATTATCCCTAAAGTGGTTTTATTCTCTTTTCACCTACAGTATACACTTATTTAAACCATCCTTTGGTCAGTTGTAGAGGTTTATATTAATTTTGAGTAGAGAAAGGACATTGCAGTACAGAAGCTACGTTCTCCTTCTACTGGCCACCCTTGGAAAATAACTTGGCCATTCACAGACCAAGTAAGACTCTTGTCAGATATGTATGAGGGGGAATTAGCTAATAAATTCAGTGGTGATTCTAAGCATCCAGGCCTGAAAATCATGGGGAATAATTGTGAAATGTTGATGAAAAATTTAGAGCTAAATTCAATGATTCAGTAGGTCTAACCCACTGAAAATATAAAAAATAAATTTGGAATATAAGACTAATAAATTAGTGTTAAGGAGGATTTAATTTAATTTAATTTATATTTTTACATTGATTTACTTCCTCTTGGAAAATATTTCTATTCAGTGGAAAATAAGAAACAGCAAGAAAGAAGCAAATATATTTAGGCTCATTTACTTTTTAAAAATTTTTATTCTTTTTAGTTACACATAGCAGTAGAATCTATTTTTGTATATTTTTATAAGCATGGAATATACCTTATTCTAATTAGTATCCCAGTCTTATGGACATAAACAATGTTGAGATTGACTGTGATGTATTCATATATGTACATAGGAAAGTTATGTCAGATTCATTCTACTGTCTTTCCTATTCCTAACTATCTTCCCTGCCCTTCATTCCCCTTTATCTAATCCAATGAACTTCTATTGTTCCCCTCCCCTCCCCTCTTTGTGGGTTAGCATCACATATAAGACAGAATATTTGACCTTTGGTTTTGGGGATTGGCTTATTTCACTTAGCTTGATAGTCTCCAGATTCATTTATTTACTAGCAAATGTCATAAAACCTTTCTCTATGGCTGAGTGATAATCCATTTTGTGTGTGTGTGTGTGTGTGTGTGTATCATATATACATATACATTATACACAAACACACACACACACACACACACACCCCTACCCACCATAATTTCTTTATCCATTCAATTGTTGATGAACATCTAGGTTGGTTCCATAGCTTAGCTATTGTGAATTGAGCTGCTATAAACATTGATTTGGCTGTGTCGTTGTAGTACGCTGATTTTAGATCTTCTGGGTATATACTAAGGAGTGGGACATCTGGGTCAAATAGTGGTTCCTTGCCAAGTTTTCTGAGGAATCTCCATTCTGCTTTCCAGAGTGGTTGTACTAATTTGTGGTTCCTTGAACAATGTATGAGTATACCCTTTCCCCCACAATCTCGCAAACAATTATTGTTACTTGTATTCTTGATAATTGCATTTAGGCTCATTTTCTATTGCCAAAAAATATGTCTTACATTCTTTTGTGCTCATAATAGTGTTCAGAATAGTGCTTTCCATATAAACATTAATACTTAACCAAGTTAATTAAGAGCAGAAGCAGAAATGTGCCTCTTCTTTGCTTCCTTATCTTACATATTCTTAATTTTTAAATCCCAAAAGTTTTCAGTTCTTGGTCATTGAGAAAAGAAGTCACTCAAATAGTGAACATAATGTGATAATCAGTTGAATTTTATTTGGGAAAAATAAAAATAAATTCTATTTTAAAATGACATACTTGATATAGTAATCTGATAACACAAATATTAGCTGCCATGACCAAATAATAGTACATTTAAGCAATGTTTAAAAATGTGAATTTTTTTTTTAAATTACATAAAAATTTACCTGACATCATGACTTATTTTGTTTGGGTATAGCTTGTATGGTTTTGTTTGTTTGTTTGTTTTCAGAGAAACTATTTACTGTAGCTCCTCCAATTTTAGGGCTTGTGTTTGATCTCATCCTCTTTTAGGTAAAAGTGGGTGATGATAAAACTATAGAGAAATACTTGACGTCTTTCATGAGTTGACTTTTGAGGCCCGCCACTTATTAGTGCTATGCAAGCCATTCCCATATCTGAAAAGGGAGGTTACTGGTCATCATGCAGGAGAAACGATGCCTCAGAGCATTTGAATAGAGAGGAACAGGTCCTTACTAGGTATGGATGCATGTTCATAATGCCTGCACACTTCCAGATGCTATTCCAGTTCTCTGCCATCCTGTGGAGTAAAAGCTGTTGCTACTAACCCAGGGATTGGCAGGCTATTTGCATTTTCAGGTCATATGAACTAGAATTAGAGGAAAAGTCAACAGGATCTGAGAAGGAAACTGTCACAGATCTCTTGGGCTACAACTCTAGAAGAATAAAGATACCTTTTCCCCACAGAGAAAAATCAAAACTAACATTTTTGTTTTTATAAGGTTGAAATCAACCATGTTATGACTAAAACCAAATTCCTCCAAAAGACTTTAGTAAGGACACCCAATGAACATGACAATCAAATAGACTGTTTTTTGTTTTTACTTCAATTTTCTTTCTCTTTTCTTTTTTTTTTTTTTTTTTTTTGGTGATGCTGGGGATTGAACCCAAGCAAGGCCTTAACACATACTAGGCAAGTGCTCTACCATTGAGCTATAACTCCAGTTCTTTACTTTCTTAAAGGTAATGTTTTCTGTTGTTTGCCTTAATTAAAAATGATATTTACTGAGATTATTTTAGTACTAGGTATGAAATATAAGTATACATGAGGGGCTATGGAAAAAAGATTCTAAATGGAGGGAAAAATACAATTTTTGAATTTATCAATTTCTTTCTTCATTAACAATGATGGAAAAATGAAATCTTTACTTATAAAAGGAACATAGCTGCCTTCTCTGTATTGCCTATTCTAGACAATATTCTATCTTAAAATATTACCTAAGTGATAAATGTGTACATATATGTAGATGTGTGTGCATATGTATCTGTATAATTTACATATAATTATATCTATAATTTAGAATACTTATTTTCATACCTATAATCCAAGCCACTCAGGATCACAAGTTTGAGGGTAGCCTCAACAATTTACTAAAGCATTCTCAAAATTTAAAAATTTAACAAAGGGCTGTGGATGGACTCGGTGGTAGAGCACTTACCTGCAAGGTTGAGACCTTGGGTTCAATCCACAGTATTGTAAAACTAACCAACATATTTTCACCTCTTTATGTGTCAGCAAAATAAAGCTGTGAGGGGTTATTATAATTTAACATGTGGCCACATTAGTTAAAGAGGTTCCAAACTCAGGTTCTTTTGAGTGTACAGCCCTTACTGCTTTCTCTGTATGCCACTGCCTGAATTTGTATAATTAGTGATATAAAGATTATCTGTAGCATTCAAACCAACTGATTATAGGTTGGATGAGGCAAACATTGTAAACTTGAGTTTTTCTATTTTTTTCTCTCAATAGTTCAGAATGAAATCATTGTCCTTACAACAAATACAGAAGATACTATGAAAAATAGAATGAGAACAGAAATCAATGTAGAAGGGGAAGCAAAAAATAAGGATGCAGTCATGGAAGTTGACAGACAGTCAAGCTATCAAGCACATAAAACTGTTAATGTTGTAACTTCCAAGGAAAATCATCTAGCAGCAGCATCAGTACCAGACCACAAACTGAATCAGCTTGGTGCAGAAAAGATGAAAATGCAAGATGCGGCAATTCAGACAATCCCTTCCAGCAACAGTTCTGAGGGGAATCACCAAGATCATAATTTGTCTGCTTTCAAAGTTGATGAAAGTGTGCAAACTTCAAATAACAAACCAACTCAACACCTATCTTTGAATCTACAAAATTCTGTAATTACCTCAAGAGAATTGAGGATTCAGAGCACCCCAGTCGTATATTCAGAAGACAGACTTGCCATAAAAGATCCAGCTTGTGCACAAAGCAATGATGATCTTTTGTCTCCTGTAGATGGAATTGATAAATATCCATCTGCTTCTTACCTAAAGAATCTGCCACTTTATAGACAAGACTATAATCCCAAGCCAAAACCTTCCAATGAAATTACAAGAGAGTATATACCCAAAATTGGAATGACTACTTATAAAATAGTACCTCCCAAATCCCTGGATATACTGAAAGACTGGGAATCAGAAACCATAGGATATAAAGATGATCAAAAGATACATACTTCAGGGAATGTGAAGGAGGTTGCCCTGCAAACACAAGACCTTGTTACTTCTGAAGGCCCAGGGGAGCTACAGCTAGACCCTAAACCAAAGCCTAACTTGAGAACAGAGCAACAGTTGCACAGGGCTGTGAGCGCACCCGATGGTGCTGTGACTAATCCTCTGAAACCTCCCAGAATGACTAGAGACACTGGCACAGCTCCTTTTGCGCCAAATTTGGAAGAAATAAACAATATTTTGGATTCGAAATTTAAATCTCGGATTTCAAATCCCCAGGCCAAACCAAGTTCTTTTTTCTTGCAGATGCAGAAGAGAGTATCAGGTCAGTATGTGACATCTGCAGCTGCCAAGAATGTCCATACTGTCCCTAATCCTGCCCCCAAGGAACTAACAAAAAAAGAGATGGAAAGGGACACACTGCCTCATTCAGAACAGACACTTCCTCCCTTAAGTAAAACTACTCACCCAGCTCCACAGCCCCAAATTAAAAAGATGGAGGATGACATCATCAACCAGAAACCTGCTGAAACCTCTCCTCCTCCGGTAGCTCCCAAGCCTATGCCTCTTCCCGCTAGTCAGGTAGCAGCAGTAAACCTGAAGACTTTGAAAACTTTTGGTGCCCCAAGACCATACTCAAGTTCTGCTCCTTCGCCATTTGCCCTTGCTGTTGTGAAGAGGTCACAGTCTTTCAGTAAGGCACGGCCCGAGTCACCCAGTGTGGGTGCATCCACCCAACCTCCAGCTCACACAGAGGATGGGAAGACTTGCTGTGTACACAGGTGTGCAGACATCCCACAAATTGATATGATGGATAAGGTAAATGTTACCTTTTAAAAAATAAGTATTCGGATTATTGTGGAACCTGGTTAAAATAGTAGATAACAAGCATGTTGGTGTGTTTGTGCATTACAGAACTCTGAATTCTTATTAATAGGATATCATGCTACTATAGGGAAGAAAGTAATACATATAATATTATTTACTGTGTATAATTCACATAACTTGATTAGATATTACTATAAGGTTGTCATTATATAATTGTTTTATTAGTAATGATATTAAATTTTCTTCATTCATAGGCCTTGTTAATTTACTAGTTTAGAGTTTGAACTACTTTCTTTGCTAATTCATTTTTAATTTTTCTGGATGTCCTGGCTTACTTCATTTTCTCTTCAAGTTTTATAGTACTATATAATGCAATATAAACAGTGTTGGTTATATGAAACAGCAGTATCAAAGACTAGATAAAGTAACCGAACACCTGGTCTGTGCCTTTTCTATTATATACATTCAACCTCACAGCTGACCATACATTTTTGCATGTAACTATTTCAAATTGAAATCAGTTCTAAAGTGTAACTTTCTTAATTCCCCATTTTGTTAAGGTCACCTTTTCCAGTTACACATGTGTTGACTAAAACATCATCTAACTACTGTCTAGCATTAACAACTTACCAAAAAGTGTGTCATTGAGTTGATGCTTAGTCAACTAAATGGTGTATTTTGCCAGGTTCAGACTGTATAGGCAATGAGGGTGTGAAATTCACAGTGTGACTCATGATAATCTGCACGTGAGTTTTAAGAAATGTTTTGTGTACATTTACTCTGATGGTGTTTAAAGAATACTTTCATATTTGTGTGACAGTTCCAGAAGTATTTTATACTACTTTTTCAAACATTCTTAGAGTAAGAGAACATGAACCATACTGCCAAGTGCATATTTTTCAGTAATTTTAAAGCAATATTTAAAGTGGAAAATATTTACATTTATTACTTTGTTAAAGCATCAGGAAGTGATACATGATATAGACTTTAATTCTTGAGTTGGGAATAAAACCTGCATTTTTTCCTTAAACTGGAATACCATTCCTAAACAATGGAACTTTGATTTATATAATGCATTTTTTGAGTCATTGTCCAAACCATGTTTAACTCATTTTTTTATGGCAGTTGGAAAAAGACATCTTTAAGATTACTTGATTTGTCAGTTAATTCTGATACTGAATATTCCTTCCTAAGAAGTTTAAGATTTTTATTTTTCAATTTGGAAGTGACTAATGTTTATTTTTATCCTCATGGGAAAAATAAAACAGCCAACACAAAGTCTCCATGACTTCCTGAAACACAAAATACATATTTACATGTAGTAATTAATATTCCTTTATTAAAAGATACATTAGATTTAACCACTATGAAATTGTCAATATTTGTGCTTTCAAAAATAATCGTTTTCCAACCTGTATATTGAAACCATGAACATGGATTATTTTTAATTTTGTAGAATTTTCTGATTATTAGTTTGGCTCTTCTAGTCAACTCCATGTATTGGAAATATCAGCATTATTTGACTCCACACAGTAAACTGTATCCATGAAAGAGAGAAACCATTTTTCTTCCTTAGCCTCCTCTGTTCAAGGGAAGGGAAGGTAAAGTAATGCCATCTTCTTCTAGTTCAGCTCTGGCAGTAAAGAGAATTTATTGGGTGAAAAAACAGCCATATCTAAATTACCCATTGGGCAAATGGTGATTCTTAAAGAACTATTGGTGATGAAAATGTTTTACAAAATTGAACTATTCTTCCCTTGGAATTCATATAAATATCGTGCATTTATTTTTGTAGCCAAATAACTCTGCACATAATGAACAAAATTCTCCAACACCAACTCCAGCTGACTGCCCATCATTCACCCTTAAGAGACAAAGTTCTTTAACATTCCAAAGCCCTGACCCAGAACAGATCCGACAGAGTTTACTGACTGCAATCCGTTCTGGAGAGGCTGCTGCCAAATTGAAAAGGGTAAGTTTTCTTTATCAGATGGGTGACAGTGGGTTTATTTTCAACATTGTCAAACTAGTACTTGAGGGAAACTTTTTTCTAGCATTTAAATCCTAATTGAGAGGATGCCAGAAGTTTACTCTTTTATGTAAGGGGTCATTTTTGAATTATAAACTGAAAGAGTCCAGAGTCTTATAAATAGTTTAAAATGTTGGGTCTATTTTCCACAACATGAGCCAGGTGCAGAACATGACTTTTGGTTCATTATATATAATTATATATAGTTGACAGTGCTCTGATGTCTTATTTTAAGAAATTATGTTAGCACATTAAGATTCTTTAGAAGATTGCTCCCTATTCCAGAAAAGGTGGACTTCCAGTGAGGGGAACCGCCAAGTTTCTAGACACAGCTTCTCCAAAATAACTGTCATGGGTGTAGTTAGAAGAGTTATATAGCTTTAATCAAAAGAATAAGAGAGCCCGGCAATGGTGGCACATGCCTGAAATCTCAATAACTTGGGAGGCTGAGGCAGGAGGATTGTGAGTTCAAAGCCAGACTCAGCAATAGCGAGGTGCTAGGCAACTCAGTGAGACCCTGTCTCTAAATAAAATACAAAATAGGATTAGGGATGCAGTTCAGTGGTTGAGTGCCCTTGAGTTCAATCCCTGGTTTTCCCCCACCCTCACCAAATAAATAAGAGAATTGGGGTGTGCTGGCACATACCCATGATCCCAGCTACTTGGGAGGCTGAGGCAGGAGCATTTCAAGTTTGAGTCTGGGCCACTTAGTGAGACCCTGTCTCAAAATTTAAAAAAGGCCTGGAGATGTAGTTCAGTGGTAGGTCACCCCAGTACCACCACCACCAAAAAAAAAAAATCTAGAGAATGTAGATGAGAACTAATACAGAAACCACAGTCTTCATAATGTCCTGCCGTAGTTGTCTAGCTCTTCTTCATGGAGGTGTAGAAAGCAGGAGAGAGGAGGGTGTGTCTTTCTTCAGGGCAAAGGCTAAATGAGTGTCCCAAGGAAATTTTTGCGGGTGAGTTTCTTCACTCTATATCCTTCATGTCCTGAAAGGGTACATGGTGAACTTTGAGCAAAAACTGCACCAAAACTTCCCAGAGTCAATCATCTCTGCATTCCTACTGCTTGTTTCCCCAGTAGTCATCCTATTAGAAATACCTCAACACTGAAGACAGAAGGAAAGTCCTCGGGATTCCACTGACTCCCTAGGTATTTGATTTTGTGAATTCCTTTTCTAAACATTTTAGAAACTATTTAGAGAAGAGTTAAGAGACTTGTTGAGCAAAACATTGAGCTCAACAGAAATTAAATCTGCAAAGGAGCAGGAATGCTGCAAAAATAGAAAAAAAAAAAAAAAGGGAAAGGCAACTTGGGTGTCTCAAGGACTTCAGCACTTGCCATACTCAGCTGCTCTAGCCAGTTTTCTCCATGTGTTTGAATGACAGATGTTCTTCTCCCAGAAGACACAGTGCTCAGATCTGGGCAAACATGGAAACAGTGCTTTCAAGAGTGAAGGAATCAAATAATTCAGGGGGATTAGTGTTGAATTTTATAGTTTTTTTTTTTTTTTTGGCAGGGGGGGAGCTGCATTTAGGTGCCAAGCAGCATAAAAATTTGGTATAGCTTTAAATATTGAAATTGGCATTTCACAGATCATGACAAATTTACATTTAAAGGGGGAAATATGCTCATGTTAATAAACTGTACAGTCTTATTTTTGAAAAATTTTCTATTTCTCATCTGGTAAATTAAAGATGAGTTTCAAACCAATCACTGTGCAGCTATAGTTTTCTCAATTCAATAAATCTGACAAGCAATTTCAAACACATAAGTTCCAAGTACCAAATATTTTACTAGATACTGGGAATGCAAAAATGAATAAAATGAAGCCTCTATCTTCTGCACGTTCACAGCCTAGGCCTGAAAAACAGTGTCACATCAGCCCCCAGGAGAACCAGTAACCACACAGAAATTGACTGCAGTGCCACTGAACTTAGTTGGTGAATACATTAATCAATTCCAATGAACTAACTGCAAATACTGTGCATTAAGTTGGAAATGCCTTTTAAGCCAACAGAATCGTACAGCAGGCAGCTGTGTATTTGGTGTGTTACTGGCCCTGAGTTGGCAGTGCTTTCACACAGAAAACTCTCATTACTTCCAGAATGAGCTGGATGTGGATCAACACAGAAAGGAGGCTGAAATGATGATCCTATAATTGTATCCTATTTAAAACTCATTATTTCAGATTCTATTGAGTTTAAAATTTCATCTCTTGGACTAGGAGGTTATTGATAGCTCTGTCTGTAGAGTGGGATCTCCTAAATCTTTTTTAGTGAATATTTCATACATTAACCCATTTTATTTCCCAAAAAAATGGTCATAAGATCTAATACTGTTTTCAATATGCAAAATTGAGGACCAGCATTTTTATTTTTAGTCATATAATTCTGAAAATTGTGTTTTTGTGTGCCAGGACTTACATATAAGTGTGTTCTTGTAGTGTCATATGCAGTAGCTCTAAGTATAACTCTAATATCCAAAGATAATAGAAAATATAACAGTGCATTCAAAGCTTATATGATCATATAGCAATACAATGAATGAAATAGAGCCAAACATGACATTATAAGAGGAGCACACACACAAATTTATCCATGAGATATTTAGCAGTATTAAAAACTTGTATATTGGTGATGCATGCATAGGTGTGGTCCTCTTTAGAAATGAAGTGGGGCTTGGGATGTATCTTGGTGGTAGAGAGACCCTACATTCAATCGGCAGCACCAAAAATAAATAAGTAATTTTAAAAAATTAAAGCAAAGTAGTAATTATAAAAATCATGGCTATGGTTCCTCAAGAGGAAAAGAGGAGGAGTTGTTAAGGGCTTATAGAATAGGCATTCAATATAATGGGGAACCTAAAAACTATCAAGATAAATACTACTTGATGCAATATATATGAAATACAAATTAATGCAAAAATACATGATAAGATATCCCATTTTTAAAGTCAGATCAGTAGGGGGCTGGCAGTGTTCTTTCTTTTGACCTGTGTTGGTAAGTTGTTCTCATTTGCTTTCATTGGACTGTATGTCTACCTTCACTGCACTTTTCTGACTTGTATTTCAAAAAATTGCAAAAGGTAGTGAAAATGGACACAGGCTCTTCATTTCTTGTAATACTTGCTTTAGTTCCATGTTTTTGTCATGTAATGAAGATTTCTCCTAGTTTCTTTTAAATTCTGACATTTAAAATTATAACAACAATGATATTGCCAAATAAAATCTCCAGTGATTTTTGACAGTAGGTTTAGATCGCTCATCAGGAAGCTGGCTCTGTGCTTGCCTCTATTTTGGCACCCAAATGTTCAATTTAACTCCAGGTATCAACCTGCTTTATGGCTCTCTTTCTTACCTGAATAATTAACCTGTGAATGGTTGGTTCACATTAGAACAATTAGTTAGTTGATTGTTGTAGTGTAAATGGGATTGTTAACATGCCATGTTTTTTTTCACATTTTGGAGGGTTTTTCCACACCTTGTCTCCATTCAACCATGTAATCACAGAGATCAGTCCTGTTTTCATACAAATCATTAATCTAGTTCAGTAGTTCACAAATTGGGTTTCATGTTGAGATTTATATATCAACTATAAAGTTATTTACAGAGAATAAGATTAATGTTGGCCTGTATTGACACAAGAACTTCTTTGGATGCTTTTTATACTGTAGGGTGCCTAATTGACTAAAAAGCAGGTCGTTATACTGTTACAAAGAGAATATAGCTTTGTAAAAATAAAGTTTGAAAATAAACTGATGAATAATGTTTTACCCTTGATAATAAATATTTCCTCAGATTGAAAATTTTAACTTTGGATAGGTAGAGGCCTGGGGTGGGGGTGGGGCGGTAAAAAACTGGGGAAGTCACCCAGAATCTGACTGGCATGTTTTGTTTATTTAACTGGCCTGTTTTTTGTTTGTTTCCTTGGTTTGATTTGAACAAAAGATTTCAAGTTGATAGCTCTGTCTACAGTAAGAAATACTTACTAAGTCCTACACTGTGCCAGGCGCTTGAAAAATTGATATAATATGGTAACCAAATAGATAAGATCTTTGCCTCCTAGAATTTATAGAATAGTTCTTTAAGGATGTTCTCTCATATTTAAAAGTTTAGTAAACAAAATTTTAAATATCAAAGCAAATGGCTCTTTTCTTTCACAAGTAACCACTCTTGATAGATTGCTAACCTTCCAGGCCACTTTTATAATATATAAACATATTTAGCTTACCAAAATGGAATATTTCATAAGACGATCTTTTTGAAGCTTCCCATCTTATTACATATAGATCTATCCTATTGTTTTTTAAGCCTACATAATATTAACCTTTATGAATATAACAGAACCTATTTGCTACTTATTGATAACCATTAAATTGGATTTATACATGGTGCTGCAGTGAGCATGTTTTACTTCTAAGAATTTAGCTCCATCAGAATGTCTTTTTAAGTACATGAAACAATTTTTTTTTCTTACAAAGAACTATGAGGACTCTAATTTTGGCATGAATTACAAAAACTAATTCTACACATGGAGACTTTGGGGCCAAGGTTACACAGTAAAATGTCATTACTTGTCTGTTGTCTGTACTTGGAGAGGAATCCCATTTGAACACTGAAGAGGGTGCAGATGAGTTCCCTCCCCTGGCAGCAGCATTTCTTCTTCTCCACCCCCGCCCCAGGCAGGTAGTATCAACCACTCGGCTCCATCTTGGATTTACAAGGCTGACAAGAAATTTCATTACTGAAAGTTACTTAATCTTTGTTTAGTAAAAGGAAGAAATGAAATACAAGGAAACCAAATCCAAACTAAATTTACAAATTTCCTTTTCCTTTTCACCAGCTTACTTTGTTGGTCGAATCTGCAGGCATTGTTACTTCAGTTCTTGTCTTATGAGGAAATGATAGCATTTGGTTATGAAGCCAAATTAGCCAAATTATAGTCTAGATAAACTGGTTTTTAAAAACATTTTCATTTTATGTTCAAAATAGTTCCACTATTCAGGATCCACATGATTTTTTCCTTACATTCTTTTAAGTTGTAATTTTGAGCTATTTAGAAAATTCTTTAGTGTTTTTATTCACTAACAGTTTGCAAATAGACTTTCAAAAGAATTCCAAAACTTAGGAGTTTATTTACTAAAAAGAAATCCCAAAACCTCCACAATTGTTGTGGCATAAGAGTCATAGATTTGCAAAGTGTGAAATATGATATATCAAGAACTATGTAATGTTTTGAACAACCAACAATAAAAAATTAAAAAAAAAAGAGTCATAGATTTGACCTTTCTTAGCCCTACAGATGAGAAAGTTCTTTTTAAAACCATTTATTGTTGTTTTTAATAAATAAGAGGTCACTGAGAATGAAACATCAAGATAATACATGTTATCAATATAAAAATTGTAAAATCATTCCTTTGTGAAATTTACTTTCCTTGGTTGCATTTTCCAAAGCACTCTTGGGGAGCCAGAATTAATCTAGCTAAAAATGCTCTTTAACAGCTTGGCCTGCAGTCTGTTTGTGCTCTTGTCCTTTACATTGATTTGGTAATTTTATAAAGCCTAAGATGTGTTAATGGATTATTTAACTTGTTTGTTGTGGAAATAACAACTCTCTAGTTTTTCATTTCATGGTAGAGTGAACATTTATCCTTGATTATTTGTAATTTATTGAAATAATAAATGCTGAATGTTAACACTTTCAATTAAAAAGAAGTTAAAATGTGCTAATTGTTGAAAATTTGACAGCTGTCCCATTTTAAATTGATGCGTGCAAAGTGTGTTTCTTCCTCTTAGGTTACTGTTCCACCAAATACGATATCTGTGAATGGGAGGTCGGGACTCAGCCATTCCATGTCCTCTGATGCCCAGGATGGCCATTAAGTGTGGCCCCACCACAGTGAACTTCACTGCTTTCACTTCACAGACCAGCTTCCTACCAACGGAGAACGTTGGCAAATGTATATTCAGATGTACACTAATATATTACCTATTAAAGTGTAAGAATTTGTGCTCTGGCTTTTCATGCCAAAAGAAGAATTATTAGAATTTATAATTTATAATTATTGTTTCGGTCTTTTTTTTTTTGTCTTAAGAGCTAAATATGCTGCTTTAGAACTTTCAAACAAGGTTTAAATGACTTTCATTTTGTTTTTCAAATGAGAAATAAGCACCCTTTATTGATATCTCTTACTGACACATTCTTTATTGCTTTTGTCTACTGAGACAAATATAAATTAAGATTTATAGACATATTTGTGACACATGAATAAGAAAACAGATCTGATATTTGCTGCGTCAGTGTTAGTTGAAATGGAAACATTTATAAGTTATATGAAAGACTATTTTGTGCAGAAAGGATGATCTAGAAAACTAGTGGTATCAAATATATTCTGTTCAATTATTTTCATTTGAGGAATCACATTATGCAAGACATATGTATTTTATGTAATTACAAATCAGTGTCAAATTTAGAGGAAATATATTTTAAAATTTTATTAACCTGGAACACTTTTTGTTTTTGAATGTTTAGAGCTCAAGTTGCACAGGAGAATTTTAAATATTTTCTGTATATAATTTATCACACAAATTACATATTTTATGTGCCAGAGCCTTAAACATCTTCCTGTGAAAATGTTATATTGTGACACATTTAATATAGAAAGGAATAGGAGCTAGTTTATGTCCATATTGGAAAACTTCAGACTATTTGGAAGTTCCAAACATCCTGGTTTTAATTAAAATGGGTCATTATTTAGTTCAGATGCTAATATTCTAAATAATAATATATATTTACATGAATACTAAAATGGTAAAGCAAAACAGAGCCTGGGGAATAGAGCCTATTGGTGTCTTTTCCCTGCTTGAAGAATTGCTCATTCTAAAAGCTTTGTTCAAACAAGCTGACACTTTGTTGGTTTTCACAAAAGCTGTTGGGATATATGACTCTTTAAAATGTATTGATTTTTTTTTTTCCTATTTAATAAAAGCAGGTTATATATTGGGGGTGCCTTTTGTTAAAAATGTAATTTGTGCCAATCAGCATATTTATGTGCCTCACCTGATGAAACACATCTCTGTTGGCCAATAAACAAACAATTACTATATGGTCTACCATTTATTGGGGCTCCTGAGTACACATTTAAGCCCTGACATTCTTACTGTAAAACCGGGGACTGAGCACATAAAATGCTTAGCATCACTCCTGATAATTGAGTTAATTTTTGAAAAATTGTGTTTAATTGGTTATTTGCTTGGGGAAAAAATTGGATCCCTACTTCAAATAATCATATGTTTGAGTTAAAGATTTATCTTTTAAAAGTCATATTTTAAAACTTAAAAACATATTCACTTGACCTGAGCATGTGAAGAAAAATGTTGAGATAAAATGAAAAGGCATAGCCATTAAAGAAAGACACGAGGGGCAGGGGATGTGGCTCAAATGGTAGCGCGCTCACCTGGCATGCGTGAGGCACTGGGTTCGATTCTCAGCACCACATAAAAAGTCAAAAAGCCAAAAGATATTTTCAAAATAAAGGGTTATTTTATGAAACAAAAATGCAGAGAAAATCTAAAAGGCTGATAAACCAATACAAAAAATATTCTTCATTGATGTTGGAGAAATAGTAACTAAAAGACAAGTTACTACATCAAATTAGCAAAAAAAAAATGCAAGTTTCAAAATATCAAGTGTTAAGTACATGAAGCAGTGGGAACTCTTACTGTTGGTGGAGAGACACTGGCACAATAATCAGTTTACTGTATCTAGTAAACTAAGTTCCCTTGTCACCTCAGAAAAGTGCTTGTGAGTGTGTGTAAGGACACATCTGCAAAAACACTCATGGCAGCCTGTATACAACAGAAGGTGATCCTAATGAGTGTTCAACACTGGGAACACTCACATGAGAGGCTTCTGTGCAACAGTCAGAGCGAACAAGCTAGAGTCATGGATCAGCAAAGACGGTTAAAAGTAACTGAGAAAAGGTGTGTTTTATGATACCAATTATATAAAGCATAAAATATGCTAAATGACATATATTGTGGCTGTGTAGATAGAAAAAAATAAAATATGCACACATTTATTTGCTAGTGGTTACTTTAGGAACCAACAAAGGAAGATGAAATTGAGATTTACAGGAGGTATCAATTGTATTTTATTTTATAAACTGTGAAAACAAGTGTTTCAACTTTAGGTTTTATATATTCTAGAAGCAGTTAATGTTTTAAAGGTCACGTGGGACTTGGGAGGATATGAGTCATTAATACACACATGATCTAAAAAGTTTCCCTGTCTACACCATTTTAGAAGATGTTACCATCTCATTTGAGAAGTTTGAGAACGGTTTTCACCTATCATTTCCTCATGTCACAGTAAAAGTGAGAAACGGGAATGGTCCAGAATCAAACTTTTGAGTTTCATATTTAATTTTTGACATCTAGACATTGTTTTTTGCCTTTCCTCCCTCAATGAGATTATTTAGAATAGTTTAAAATTACAGTTTATATTTTATATGTAATAAAGTATGAAACACCCCCCCCTTTTTTTTTGTCCCCAGCATCTCACATCCCTCTCTGATGATTATGGCTGTTAATATTTTGATACGAATCCCTAGATAGATGCATTTATATACAATATATGTCCACAGGTTTGTTTGGGACAAACATTTGCATTTGTGTGTTTTCTTGACATAGAGTCATGTACTGATATTCTAGCAACTTGCCTTTTATTCCAACAAGGTTCTGAAAGATTTTGCACCCACAGATCTGTCATATTTTAGTTAGCAATTCTCCTGTTATTTTTCTTACAGCACTACACAGTACTTGCTGAAGTCAAGATCTTGAGTTTAAATCTCTGGTCTGCCACTTGTAAATCCTGGGATTCTTGGGCAAATTATTTTCTCTGCAAAATTGAGTTAACATACCTATGTTATAGGGGTGGTTGCAAGAAATTGTTTCACATGCAATTCCCTTTTAAAATGTACTTATTTTTAATACTGTTAGTGAACAGGAATTGTTCTGAGGAGTGATCTTCCCTCACATTTCACCTAAGGTGTACTGCCAGATCAGGCCTGGGCCACCAGGCATTGGCAGGAGAAGCCTCGCTCTGCTCCTCAATCCAAGTCCCCAAAATGAGACCAGTCTTTTTCCTGAGTCTTAAAGTTGATCGTATCTGAAACTAAGAGTCCTAACTCATAAAATTGTCTAATGCCAGTTCATTTTCTACCCACAATTGGTAGGATAAATAGACCTAAGAACCAAACCCATCTTTTTACCATTAATTTCAATAAAAGGGAACTTACAAGTAGAGGACACAATAAAGATCCATAGTTAAAATGGTTTCTTCGAGATTATCTTTGGTGTAAAAGTTATTCATTTATTTAGGGTTTTAGAGTTTACACAGGATTTTTATTCAATCCACATTTGGAACAAAAAAAAATTGCCCAAATTGTGGGTTTAAAAAGGCTACACAACCAGGCAAGTCTCAGAATCCCACGTCTGATTTCCAGTTTGCTCTTTCTAATGACTAAACTTAGCAAATGATGGTGAAGAAAATGGTGCTAGATTTCAAAGGACACCAAAACAGTAACCTACTTGTTCTGGATCTTCAATCTTCCTTTTCTCTCAGTGCTACCAACTCTTCTGCAAATCTCCATCCTTAATATCACAGACTCTTCATTTGGATGTATTTTGCTTAATGCAAGAAAAAGTGCCACCACGCACTCACTCAAAGGAACTTTTCTGATAGCATTTTAGGAATTGTAGAACATTTTGCTAATTTTTATAGGAATGTTGGTATTGCTACTGCACAAACTAGAAAAATTCTTTTTAAAATCCAGTACATAGAGAAGAAAAGGTACTCCATGTGCAAACAAATTTACAAAACAAGCAATTACACCCCAATTTATACTTACATTCCTGCATACCCCTTGTGATAGATTAAGTGATATGCCAAATTCTCTCTTATTCATCCATCCACACACTTTGCCCTGGGACTTTGCATTTCTCTCTTTAAAGAGGTAATGCTTATTTCCTCCCACATAGAGAAGCTGGTTTTAGAATGAGATGAAAATGACACTGTACAGATTCTGAGATTAGGTCTCAACGGTTTGCATGTTTCTGCTTGTTTTCAACATACATGAAATGTTGCACTGAGAAAGACATCTCTGGGGTATTTGAGTGGTTCAACAGGAAGCAGGACTCACAACTGAAGCCAACCTAGGTCATTCAGTAGCCAAACCCCCATATAGGAGCCAGACCATCCAAGATCAACTTAGCCACAGGCCCACACCCTTCCTACAACACTGAGATTTCATCATTGGTTGGTATAGAGCATTAATGTGGCAATAGGTACAGTATTCCCTGTTAAACACACAACCCTAATCAAAAAATGCCTTCAACCTATTCAACTTCACATACCCTGTCTCCCCTAGAATCCCCAGAGTACTTACTAAATCTAACACAAATACACCACAGACACTCATGTCTAGCTTCCAGCAAGTTAAAAGTAATCCTAAATATTCTTATTTGTGGTACAGAAATATTTTCTTTCTCTTTATCCTACTTTTTCATTTTGCCTTCAGACCTGGAAACTTGAGATCCCCAAAGTTATCTACAGCCTCCTCAGAAGTTTTTGACTTGTCTATTTCATAAGGTTGCCAGATAAAATACAAGATGCCTAGTTAATTTGAATTTCAGATAATCAATGAATTATTCATTAGTATAAGTATGCCCTGTGCAATACTTGGGATACATTTATATTAAAAATTGTTTATCTGAAATTCAATTTTAACTGGACATGCTATATTTTACTTTTCTAAATCTGGCAACACTACTATGTCATTGAAAATCTGGAAAGAATAAAAGGAAGCAAGAAGTAGCATCTGTCACATAAGAAAAGAGAGCAAGCCCAGGCCCAGCTGTGTCAAACTGAGAAGTGGCATTATGCAGAAGAGTGGCCAAATCTTTGTGCTCTCTGATAGTTCACCATCAGAGCAATCCAATACAATGTTCACTGAGAGTTCAGAGAAGAAACTCTTGGTGAATTCCCTTGGTGGTTTTCCTATACCTTCAAGCCTTCACAAAATCATATTCATAAATTCTATTGATGTCCTCATTAACCTCAGCATTATCATGGTAATTATAAAAGTTGCTAAATCTAGGTGGTGGGTACATGATTTTTAACTCTTCATGTTTGATATTATTCATAATAAAGCCAATAAATTATTGAGCCACTTTTTAGTGTAAACTACACTATTCAAGTGAATGGTAGCAGATTGAATTTGTGTCCATTTGTTTCTCTTCCACCAACTAAGAATGTTATTCAAATCAGTATGGATGATGTGAAACAAGTAACAATTTGGCAAAAGCATCTCAAAGTGAAGAGTGTTTATTGAAGGGTGTTGTGGTTCCATCTTCAAAACACACTCTCCTAGATCTACCTATCATAGCATCATTCTTAAGATGGGCGGAGAAGTAAAAAAAAAAAAAAAAAAAAAATTCAAGTACGACCTATGCACCCTTTACTCTGTATGTGACCATTTAGTTAAGTTTTATCATCCATCTGAGGCAAGAGACTTAGAGTAGCTAAGTAACTCACTCAGGGTGGTGCTAGGTTTAAAGACATATCTGATACTATGGCCCCAAATTCTGCTGCCTTGTTCCAGGTATCGAGTGTGTTCTTGAACAGTTAGTCTTCAAAACTATTTTCCTTCTGTGCAATGAGTATATCTTACAGAGTATATTCCTAATCTTTTCAACCTAATCTCAGTTGCCTAACCTGGGAAAGATCATAATGTAGTGACTATGATTTGAATGTTCCCTCTGATGCTCATGTTGAAATATAATTGCCATTGAAACAGTATTAAAAGGTGGGAACTTTGGTGATTCTATCATAGGGCTCCACTCTCATGAATGGCTTAATGCCATTATCAAGAGTGAGTCCCCATTAAAAGGGTTAGTTTGACCCCCTTTCTTTCTCATATGTTTGCTTGATCTTCTGCATTCCACAAAGGAATGACAAAGGATGAAGGCCCTCTCCAAATTCCAGTGCCATGCTATTGAACTTCTCAATCTCCAGAACCATGAACCATAAAAACTTCTATTTATAAATTGACCAGCCTGTGCTATCTGCTATAAATGGACTAGGACACCAGTATTTCTCAGATCATTCTGCAATTTTTAAACATGATGGATGCTGGAAATTTATACCACATATCATGCCAAATCCTCAATATTAGTTCAGCATCTCATAAAGTTTTACCAGGTAGTTTAAAGTAGTATGGCCATGCTCTCAAAGAGTTAAGAATCAGGAAAAGGATGTAGAAATATGGAGTAATACAATTTGATAGTTCCAAAGGAATAGCTGGTAAATGTGAGGGGTTGCAAAGACTTTTATGATGTAAGGGAAAAGAGTGAGCAGGACTTCCAAGGATGAGTTGGTAATGTGAATATAAGAGGTGAAGTATTTAAGCTGAAATATTAGCAAAGAGACTCTGAGGGAGGTATGCATATAGTGAGTTCTGTTAACAGAGCACACATTACTCTGGAATGGCAATTAGCTTGTTTATTTGATAAACATACACTGCTATGGTTTAGATATGAGGTGTCCCTCCAAATCACATGTGTGAAATAATGCAAGAAAGCTTAAAGAAAAATAATTGGGTTATGAAGAGCCTTTACCTAATCCCTGATAGGGATTAACTGGGTGGTGAATGTAGGCAGACAGGGTATGGGTGGTCACAAGAGATGTGTCTTCAAGGTTATATTTTGAGAGTTTAGTTTAGTCTCTCTCTGATTTCCTGTACTGCTTTCCTCTACCATGCCCTTTCGCCCTGATATTCTGCCTCATCTGGGGCCCAGAGCAATGGAGTCAGCCATCTATGGACTGAGATCTCTTAAACCATGAGCCCCCAAACAAACTTTTCTTCCTCTAAAATTGTTCCCCAAACAAACTTTTCTTCCTCTAAAATTGTTCTTGTCAGGTCTTTTGGTCACAGCAGTGAAAAAGTTTAATAAAACATACACTGAACATTTTCTATCTACCAGGCAGTATGCTGGGTGATAAGAAAACAAAGATGACTAAGACATAATTCTCGTCCTCCAAGAATTATGGGCTGGTGATAATTCATGAAATGAGGTCATAAAAGTATACTAGAAATGTAAGCTGTCCATTTTCCCATTAGTTTTTTTTCTGAAAGATCTTCATATTTTCTTGATACTACCCTGTTATTTCTTACATTGAAGACAGAGGCACTTAACCACTGAGCCACATCCCCAGCCCTTTTTTAGTTTTTATTTTGAGACAGGGTTTCACTAAGTTGCTTAGGGCCTTGTTAATTGTTTCCTGTTCTTTAAGTGAAAAAGTCTTATTAAAGTCATTGAACACATCAGTGTAGTCTTTCATGGTTAAGATTTTTTGTATCATATTTAAGAAACCCTTCTTTACTCTGAGGTCAGAAGGGGTATTCATGGATATTTTATTCTCACTATTCTAAGATTTTGTTTCTCAAATTCAAGGTCTTAAATCATCTGAAGAGTTTTTTTTTTTTTTTTTTTTTTTTTTTTTGGTATGGTGTGAAATAGCCATATGCTTTCCTTTTTACTTATAGATGAATAGTCATTCTTTTCAGCTTGTTATGTAGACATCTGTGCCTTTCCTCAGTGACCTGGCTCATTATCTCCATAATTTTTATATAAATCCCTACATGTGTAAGTTTGTTTGGGGGGCTATTTTTTTCTAGTTCTTTGGTCAAGATATTATTATAGCCTTATAATAAACCTTTATATCTTAAAAGAAAGTCACTCCTTTTCCTTCTCCTTCAGAAATAGCTTGGCTATTTGCTCTTCCATATAAGTTTTAGAATAAACTTAAGTTCTATAATGTGTGACTGGGATCTTTGTTAATGTGTCTGTTTAGTAAACATGAAGAATAGCTTTACCCTTTAATTGAAGGGATGCAAAGGAAGACCACAGGAGGTACCATTTGCAGCTATTGTCAGAATTTACAAGTCTAATGATGCCAAATATGGACGTGGATGTGGATCAGTCTAATCTCTTGTACACTGCTGGTGGAAGGATAAATTGGTACAAACACTTTGGAAAACAAAATGGAATTGTATAATATATAAATTTTGCACATACCCATTTACCTCTCTGGATCTAGTCTGAAACTTCTTCATCCCGTTTTATGTTCTTGGAAGCTGAGCTTTATAGCCTCCAAAAGTGGGTAATCTTGAGTCCTGGCTTCCAGCTTGGTTCAGCCAATGAGAGACCCTGGAAAGACGTGAGAGAGAAAGGTAGAAAGTCAGGTCAGGGTTCTTAGTGAGATCATCTCCTTTTTTTCAACCAGCTGTTACCTCTGTTCTACTGATAGCGAGAGCTCTGTTCAGTAATCCTCTCCTATAGCTACAGCTACTCACTTGAGATTCCTTGTATAAACTCCTTCCCTTTGCTTCCTCGAGCTAGGAATAGTTTTGTTTCCTTGCTCTTGCTATTCCTTGCATGCTTAATTGTCTCATAATAGTTCTTTCATTAAACTTTTACCCATTCCACAACTTGATCTTGCTCCTACCAGGACCATTGTTGGTACAAATTAAAACTGAACAGTTTCACACAATGCCTATATTCAAGAGAAACCACAGCAAGTGTGTTCTCCAGGAGACATGTTCATGAAGGTTTGCAGTAGACATCAGACACTTTGGTAATAGCAAAATAATAATAGTAATAATACAGGAGAAATAAAAAAAATCAAGTATCAATTGTCAAGTAAATGGATATTTGGATATTGTGGTATATTTGCTAAACGTGACACTATATGAAAACTAATCATCTATATCCACATGCAAAAACAGATGAGTTTTAGTGATCAAATGTCCAGGAAAACATTTTAAAGCAAGCCACAAAGGGCAAAGTGTAGTACAATAAACTTTTGTGAAGTTAAATGGCCTATTTACATGTACATAAACATGCTAAATATTTTTTTTAAAGTGATGCATGGTAAAAACCCATTTCAAGGAGAGTGGTTACCACTGAGAGAGAAGAAGGGGAATTGATTTAGGATACACAAGAACATAGGTAAGTTATTGGTGATGTGTTATTATTCTGTTACATGAATTTGTAGATTCAGGGATATTCATTATGATATAAATTAAATAAAAACAAATGCATAATTAACTACTACAGTTAAAAATGAAACAGATTGAGAAAGTCTAGAATTCCAGGCTAAGAATTTAAAATTCACCCACTAGTCCTCTGAAGTTTGTGAGCAAAAAGGTAACAATGATGTATTGAAGTTATTCACTAGAATTGGATAAAAGCAGATATTCAGAAGCAGCCTTTGCCAGACTCCAAGTGTGAATAGATGAGGTTCTGGCCCTAAGGTTATGACAGTGGTATTTTAAGAGAAAGACAAGGAAAGAGTAGCAGAGTTAAGAATTCATAGTATTCTTGGTATGAAAACAGAAGGTAAAATCAAAGAGATGACCAAAATACAAGGCCAGAGTTAACAAAGAACAGATTTCCATCTCAGAATTTCTTAAACCAGCATTGTAAATATAGTATATTAAGAAGATATGAAGGATTTTGAATATTCAATACCACCTCTATAGTGGCTAAATTTATGTTAAACAATATGGAATGCTTCCATTTCTTGGCCTCTCGCTAGAGCTAACAACATGTTCTTAAATACAAGACCAAAGCTGTGACAACCAAATAATGGATTTTAGCTACATCTAAAAAATAAACTTTATGCATTATAGCTAATAAACATTATTATTTAAGTTGTTTTTTTTTTATGTGTGCGTGTGTGTGTGTGTGTGTGTGTGTGTGTGTAAGGAGTACCATTAATCAATATAAAGGGATGTAGCTCATAGCTCATGGTAGAGCCCTGGCTTAGTGTGCATGAGGCCATGGGTTTGATCCCCAGCACTACAAAAAACAAAATAAAAATAAAGGGTCATCCCAGCTGAAAATATTGCAGAAACTCTATTCTAAATTAAATTATAGTATAAACCATCACTGCTTGAATATAAACATTTTTCATTTCAGAATATACTTCTATCACCAACATTTCTCTCTTAAATATTTAAATGGTATCCTATTTCCTATATTCAATAAAAATAACCAATCTTATTAGTGAATCCAATCCTGTGGGTTGAGTTGTTAATCCCAGCACTCTATTTATACAATTATTTTTCAAGTTTATTTCCTATTTTTATCTTGTCCTTCAACTGCATATAGTTCAGGGTTGCCTATTTTTAGTGCACTCAAGTACCAAATGGTGGAAATGCTTTAATACTTGACTATAGAACCACAAGAGTGCTGGATTGCACCTTGCCTGGCTGCAGGCAGTGTCCTCCAACTCCAGGAGGGACTCCCAAGTTTCCTATTCATCTATCCTAAAGGACATACATTAAGCAAGAAGTAAAAAAAAGCAACACAATATTTTTATTATTCTGTATTTAAAGAGACCTCCAAAACCTTATCCAAAAATAAGAAGACATTTAATACAAGTACCAAAGGCAAAGTACATCATTTTTAGTAACCCTGGAACTTTTGGTTCCCTCTTTGTCCAGTCTTGATTTGAGGAATCTTAAAATCATTTTGTTTTATTTTCTTTTTTAAAAAAGATAAATGACTTCTTGAAGATTCTTTGACAGCTTTCTTTTATATCCTTGTCTAGATGAGCTGTCTGCAGAACAAGCCTACATTCATTTAAATATGAATTAAAAATCTGTGCTTCCAACATCTTTGATATCTGAGTTGGGGCCAAAATACCAAGTGTATTTAGGAGTACAGGCAAACCACAGAGATATAGCAGGTTCAGTCCACTGCAATAAAGCGAATGTTGTAATAAAGCAAGTCACGAAATGTTTGGTTTCCCAGTGCATATAAAAGTTATGTTTATATTGGGTCTGTTAAGTATGCAATAACATTATGTCTTTAAAACATAATGCATGTCTTAATTAAAAATGCTTTATTACAAAAAATACTATCATATAAACTGCTGGGAAAAAGGCACCAATAAACAGGTTTACATAAATTGGTCAATTTGTTTTTAAAAAAAACAGAGTATTATCTTCAGAGCACAATAAAGCAAAGTGCAATACAAGTTTTGCCTATGTCTGCTTAGTATTTTGCAGATAGTCCAAATTAGCTCAGTTCTAGAAGACTAAGAAGGTTTAGAAAAAGAATGAATGTGTGAGTTCTGATGTGCTGTTGTAGAGTGAGATAACAGTGGCTGAGTAGATGGTATGTAGGTTTCCTCCTTCCTACTCATCAGTCTGTCAATGCCATCTGTTGCATAATGTGAAGAACAACTGAACCCATCTTCAACAAACACTGGCAGTTGGTCTTTTCATTTCTTCCCAGAAGTACTCATTATCCAGACAAAGGTCCCTGGAGCATCCCAGAGATTTGTGCCTTAAGGAATGTAGCAAAATGAAATTAGGATTGTTTCTTGAAACTTTTAAGTGGTCACGGGAAAATGAGAAGAGAAACAGAAGAATAAATTGTTCCAAGAGAATGTCTGCCCAACATAATGTTCCTGATAGAAAATTTCACTTTTTATTCACTTGAAAGTGTGTGATTTGTTATAGAAACATGGAAGATTTCAAGACTCACCAGGATGTGGAGAAGTGAAGTGCAGTGCAGCTTCCCTTGGTTGCAAAAGCAGAAGAAAATTACATGTGAACATTGAGAGTGATGTTAGATCTGAGCTGTATTGTTTATACTGTGCTTAATTTAGCATTCAACATAGTTTTAGTTTAAAATTTGTTTATATAGGTATTTATTTAAAGACTACTTTCCCATTAACCTTCATTTTCCAGGGGGGTAGAAACCTGTCTTATTTATCCTCCAACTCTTATCCATAATATGTGATAATAACAATGAGTGGTTTTTTCCCCTTACCCTATGCTCTTCTAAAGGGTTTATTGAAGTTAATAATTTAATATATAATAAAAATAGGTTTCATTATTACTTCCATGTTACAAATGAGGAAACAGAAACACGTGACCCAAGACCACTTAATTAGGAAACAGAAAACCAGAACACACAATTGGGTACTTTGGCTCTGCCTGCCATTGGAGTCACACAATAAATGTTTGTTGAAAGATTGCATGAGTGAGACAGGAGGTTATAATTTTTGTAAGATTATAATTTTGCTAAATGAGAAATAGATTTTAATTTTCTCCTGCATTCTCATTAGAAATACTGACCCAACTTCCTACAAATATTGTAAGAAAATAGGGGTAGCCAATTAGTATTCATAGAATAATAGTATGACAATGGCCTAGCTTCAATCTTAACATAATTATTGTAGAACTCCCTTAAATTTTAAATAAACATTAGGGAATTTGGGTTACTTAGATTTAATTTGTTCACAGTTGTCAAGATTTCCTTTAAAATATAGTTAGTCTTCCATAAATACATACAAATAGATTAAAAAGCACAAACTCTTCTATAATACTTGTAAAAGTAGCTTACAAAATGAGAAATTCCTAACTATGAGTTTATTAATCAATTTTTAAAACATTCATTAGTTGCTCACTGTGTAAAGTAGTAGGCTTCCAACCAATCCTGACCTTTCTTTCAGGCCCTCATTGTTATTTCTATGAGGGCAAATAACTCTGCCAATAGTCTCTGAATTTGTATTCATTATGTATTTTTAGCTTGGCTTGATTATTACTTGTTTCCATTCTAATAGATTTCCACAAGGGAACAGGCCAATTTTGCTATTTCATTAATAATAAAACTCTTATATGGATCATAAGAAATAACAGATATTAGTTACCAGTACTTTATAAATATGTTTGCTTGTTTCAAAATTATATTTCATGATAAAAATTCAGTAGTATTTATTTAGGATATTTCATGGCTAGTATCTGATCCCTTCAGCAATGTGTACGATCTGGCCTAACACATGGTATAGGGGGGACGGGCTGCATTCTGGATTAGGACACCAGAGATCTGGGTGCTAATTGTGGTAATGCCATCAACTTGCCAGGAGACTATATCCAAATCATTAACTTTGCAGATCCTCAAGTCCGTCATTTGTAATACTAACATTCTTTTAAAAGACCCTTATCTTTTCCAGAAAACATATTTAAATGAATCATTACATGAGTACTGTAAATTTAATAGTGACTTTTTTTTTTTTAAGTAGCCATTTGGGAGGAGGGGTACCCTGCCCTTTCTCCAAATCCGGATTCCATTTAAGTGCTACTGTCTCTCTATGAAGAAGTGACTTGTGTAAATGATCTCATTCGGGAGGC